CGTATTTATGAGTTAGGATTCATGTATACATAAACATAACATATATAATATATATAAAATCATAATAATTCATCTTTTTAGTATGAATTGTTGAGATTTATTTTTTTTTATCTTTTTTTTTTAATAAATGATTGTCTTTTTATATAAAAAATTGTGATAAATCTCAACCATGCAAAGTGAAAAGATAAATTATCAAATTTTGTATAAGTGATGTGTATAAAATTTGTATGTAAATGAATACTATCTACATATATGAAAAAAATAATTATTTTTAATATATATATAATGAAAAGTTAATAAATCTCAATTATTGAAAGTGGAGAAATGAATAATCAAAATTTTATGTAAAGGTGATGTGTAAGATTTGTGTGTAAGATTTGTGTGTAAATGAATAATAAAATATAGAGTTAGGATTCATTTATACCCAGGTTTTACATGTTATATTTATAAAAAATCTTGATAATTCATCTCTCTATTTTTAATAATTGAGATTTATTAATTTTTTGATATATTTATTAAATATAATCTTTTTATTTTAAAAAATAGTGATAATTCTCAACAATTGAAAGTGAAGAAATGAAGGGTCAAGAAGTTGTATAAGTGTAATATGTAAAATTTGTATATTAGTGGATTCCTACTCATATATAAGTGGATCTCTACTCATATATATATATGTATGTATGTATGTATGTATGTATGTATGTATGAGACAATGACATTGATTGGTAAACGCATTAAAAAGTTATTATTTTTTAATATGAAATTAAAGACAGATAAATTTAAAAATATAATTATGCATATAAGATATAGAAATAAACTAAATTAAATTGTACTTATATTTTATTTTAATAAATTAATTAAATGAATATCAAAAATAAAAAACGTGTTAAACCAAATGTGTAACAATTGTTTCCCATGATACTAGAATAGGAGAAGACTTTTTAAGGCTAATGGTTGGGCACAAACACATGATGGACCTTGAAAATTTAGAAAGATAAAGGGGGGCGCTCAAGTTTGAGAAAAATTATGCTCATCTTGACCAAGCCCTACTCGAGGCCACAAAAAGTTGCACGGTCGCTATACCTTGGGCCATATTTTGATTCCGCTCCCAGCTTAGAGCTAGCTAGTTGTGAGCATATGAGCTTGACACCTGTGAGACACCCGCGATCGACATCGTTTAACTAGTATGTGTGAACGCCAACCTTTAATTAATTCCTTAGTTCAAATTTACATTCATATTGTCTCTGCTTTAGACACTAACCACCAAATGGGAATTGCTTTAATGAAGACGGCAATTGCGCAACAAAGCAAGATGAAGATATGACTTTAATGATAATGACAAGGGTACAAGGAGTCATCAAGCATAATCCCCTAAATTTTCCAAAAGTTCTTGGTTGTTAAAAAAAAGGCTTTTCTTATGCAAAAACTAAATTAGTTAGCCTGAAACCTTAAGAAATTAACTTCATCTTAGATAACATCCATCAAATTTTGACGTTTGCATGGAACACACTTCACAAGAGAATTAATTAGGATTCTTATATACCATAATGATGATGATTATCCATCATTAACCTTATCATCAACACTTTTAAGAAGTTTATCTAGTACCTAGAAGATGAGTAGCTTTTGGGATGATAAAGAGACAAATTAAAGAAAAAGACATTATACCAATTAATATCGATTCAATAAATGGTTAACGAAGCTGTTTAATCAAGAGATTAGATGCTTAAAAAAAAAAACAATGATTAATAGCTTAATTAAGCGCTAAGTTCAAGAGCTAATTATAAGACTA